GAACAAGCTTGCCATTTTCCAGGAACAGTGAAAGGACATCCATTGACCTAAGACTCAAAGCTACTGTCCCAAAGACAAAGCAAAGGGGACCCAGTTCCCTTGGGAGGCTCCTTGATGCTCTGCTGCTTGACCACCAGAGGGCAGCAGTGCTCCTTGTCTTCCAGGCTGAACAGAAAGTGGGTGCTCATGAACGCTTTAGGAGCTGGGGTTTTGTCCTTCACATGCTCAAAATTTGTTCACGGGCTTGGGGCATGTTCAGCCCTTTGGGATTTGTGAGGCAGAGAATTCCAATTTCTTAAGCCTAGTAAGAAATGAGCAAAAACTTCAATATACATGACTCAGGCAAGAAATCAGCATCTGTGGCAAACGCTGGAATGAGATGCAAGAAAGCTCATGGAGTTTCCATCCCAGCAGATTGTAAGGCTGGAATCTTTTGCTTCCGGCTCCAGGCAGCACAGACAGGGCCCAGCCTGCAGAGGGTGGGCAAAATGTCCTCTCAGGGTCTTCAATGGCCAAGTCCATGCCCACCGCAGAATCTTTCTTCTACCCAGAAGTATCCTTTCCTGAGTTCCAAGCAGAGCTGGGGATGTTAGCCTATGACTGTCATCTGACTTGGAAGGTACACCTAGGGGTCAGGGGGAGATCAGCAGGGGAGTCTGGGAGCCGCTTCTCCCCGCACCTGGCTCTGGAGTGGACACCAGCATGGAGCCAGCACAGGAACGGGGGTGCGGGGGGGGCACGGCCTACAGCACAAGCTCTATCTGTGTCCTTCAGAAGTCCCGGGGAAAAATGATGTGCCCTCATGGGAATGGCATTTTGCACATCACACAGGCTGTCCTGGGAGTCAGGCAGACTGGATTGTCAAGTGTGGTGTGTATATAGCAGCTTGTGCACTGCAGTGGACATGTGGACCATTTCTAAAGGTCACAGCAAATAATAAATGTGTCCTTCTTTGTTTTTATCTTTTGTGCTACTTAGATTTTATAGTTATAAAAATACATCTACATGGTTTGACATGAAAAAGATACTAAAAGGCAGACAACTAAAAGTGAACTGAGACTGGCTACATAATGTACAGAACCCAGGGCAAAATGGAGATGCCGGGTCTCTTGTTCAGACATTGTTAAGAGTTTCAAGACAGCAACAACAGAGCCTTCAATCAAGGATGGGCCCCGCTGAGGGCAGGTCACTCATTCATGAAATCAATCCTTAGCAAACAATGAGTCTCAGACACACTGCAGCTAGAATGGAAAAGATTCTGGGTCTGCAAGAGCCAGAGCCACGCTGAGATTCAATGCGAGTTCCAAACCACACATTTTGCACCTTCTTCAGACTCAGGAGCCAGGACAGAATGTTCCAAATGTAGGGTGGGGATTGCAGGGGCTGAGAACCCACAGCCTCCATTCTGTCACAACCAGGGGACACCTCAACCCATCCCCCAAGCAGAGGGAACTGAGCCAACAATCAGGGCCACATAGAGGCCCTCCCTGTGCACCACCCCCACCCCACTCCCACCCTGCTCCCAAGTCTGGGACTGGCCCTCGGTGCCCACCCCAGCAGGTATAGGGATTGGCAGAGGAAGGCAGCATCTGGGGGCTGTGACTTCAGGCCGGGACAAGTGGCACCCACTGGAGCCTGGCTGGGGCTGTACAGGCACCTCTTCTGGAGCCCTTCATCACCATCCCTGTGAAGAAGAGGGCCTGTGTCCATCACAGCCCCGCTCTGAGGCACAGCTCCAGGCTGCCACCCAACAACAGAGGTAATCCGGGCCAGGGCTCTGGGTGGCACACGCCCTTGCGGCTTGGGAAAAAACAAAACCAAATCTTATCACCAAATAAACCTGGGCTGGGCCTGGGCGGGTGCCAAACCGCCCATGGGGATTTGGGGAAATGCTGACTGTTCCTGCCATTGACTCCCATTGATGTCCCCAACCCTCACTGCGTGAGTCCACCAGCCACAGGCAATACCTTAAGCAGGTCCCTGCAAGGTCAGGCGCCAGGCGGCACCCATGGTGTGGGAGTCCTGGGACTGCACAGTCCAATGGGGTCCGCAAAACAGTCACACAGGCAGTGACACTGGACTGGCTGAGAGGTGTGTGGCAGCCTAGCCATGACAGTGGGCTGTGCGCACTCTGGGATGCTCCCTAATGTGCGATGGGGACGGGCCAGGCTAGGCAGGAAGTTGAACTCCTGCAGAGGGTCCATGGCCTGTACCAAGATTGTGTACGTGTCTGGGGGTGGTGTGTGTTGTGTGTGTGGGGGGGTGGTATGTGGTATGTGTGTGTCTTTGATGTGGCTGTGTGTGTGTGGTGTGTGTATGGCATGTGGTATGTGTGATGTATATGTCGTGTGTATAGTATGATGTGCATTTACAGTGTGTGTGGTGTGTGTGTGTATGATGTGTGTTTGTATATGGTATGTATGGGTGGGGTCTGAGCATGAGTGTGTGGGTGGGTGGGTGTAGGTGGCATGTGTGTCTGTGTGATGTGTGTGTGGTGTAATGTGTGTGGTGTGTATGTGGTGTGTGGGTACGTACATGTGTGGCGTGTGTGGTGTGATGTGCATATGTATGTGGTGTGCATGTGTATGATGTGTGGTGTGGTGTATGTATGTGTGCATGTGTGCTGTATGTAGTGTGACCTGTTTGTATGTGGTGTGTGTAGTGTGGTGTATGTGTGCTTGTGTGTAGTATGTGGTGTGTGCATGTGTGGTGTGTGTGTGGTATGTGTGTGGTATGAGTACTGTGTGTGGTATGTGTGATGTAATGTGTGTGTATAGGTTTGTGTTGTGTGTGTATATGTTTGTGTTGTGTGTGAGGGGTGTGGGGGTAGTATGTGTGGTGTAATGTGTGTGTATGTGGTATGTGGTGTGAGGGGTGTGTATGTATGTACGTGTGTGTGTCCATGTGTGTGGTATGTGGTATGTGTACATGTGGTGTGGTGTGTGTGTGGTGTGTGTATAGTATGTGTGGTGTAATGTGTGTGTATGTGGTGTGCGGTGTGGTATGTGGTGTGTTGATGTGTGGTGTGTTGTGTAGGGGGTGTGTGTGTGGTATGTGTGGTGTAGTGTGTGTGTATGTGGTGTGTGCATGTGGGGTGTGTTGTGTGTGTGGTGTAATGTGTGTATGTATGTGGTGTGGAGTGTCTGTGTGTGTGCGTGTGTGTATGTGTGTGGTATGTGGTGTGGGCATATGATGTCTGTATGTGTGATGTGTGTAGTGTATGTATGATGTGTGTGTTGTGTGTGAATATGTTGTGTGTTTGTGGTGTATGGTGTTTGTGGTGTGGTGTGGTGTGGGTGGGATCTGTAGGGGGGGTGAGTGTGGGTGGTTGTGCTGTGTTTGCATGTGTGGTGTATGGTGTGTGTGTGGAGGGGTGTATATGTGATGTGTGGATACGTGCATGTGTAGTGTGATGTGCCTATGTATGTGGTGTGCATGTGTATATGTGGTGTGTATGTATGTGTGCACGTGTGGTGTAGTGTGAAGTGTGTATGTATGTGATATATGTGGTGTGGTGTGTGCCTGTGTGTAGTATGTGGTGTGTGTGATGTGTGTGTGGTATGTGTGGTGTAGTGTGTGTGGTATGTGTGGTGTAATGTGTGTGTGTGTGGTGTAGGGGGATGTGTATGGAGGGTGTGTGGTGTAATGTGTGTGTATGTGGTGTGTGGTGTGGGGTGTGTATGTGCCCGCATGTGTGTGGTATATGGTGTGTGCATGTGTGGTGTGTTTGGTGTGTGTGGTATTTGTGGTATAATGTATGTGTGTGGTGTAGGGTGTGGTATGTTGTATGTGCACGTGTGGTGTGTGTGTGGTGTGCAGTGTGAGGGGTGTGTGTATGCGTGGTATAATGTGTGTGTGTGGTGTGAGGTGTGGTATGTGTTGTGGTATGTGCATGTGTGGTGTGTGTGTGTAGTGTAGTGTATGTGTATGTGGTGTGCAGTGTGAGGGGTGTGTGTATATTTGGTATGATGTGTGTGTGGTATGCGGTGCAGTATGTGGTGTGTGCAGGTATGGTGTAGTGTGTGTGTGGTGTGCAGTGCAAGGGGTGTGTGTGTATGTGTGTGGTGTGCAATGTGGCATGTGCATGTGTGGTGTGTGTGTGGTGTAGTGTGTGTGTGGTATGTGGTGTGAGGGGGTATGTATGTGTGGTGTGTGGTGTGGTGTTTGGTATGTGGTGTGTGCATGTGGTGTGTGTTGTGTGTGTGTGGTGTAGTGTAAGGGGTGTGTGTGCGTGGTGTGGTGTGATGTGTGTGTGATGTGTGGTGTGGTATGTGGTGTGTGCATGTGTGTGTGCAGTGTGTGGTGTGGCATGTGGTGTGTGCATGTGTGGGGTGTGTGTGTAGTGTGTGTATGTGGTGTGTGCATGTGTGGGGTGTGTGTGTGTAGTGTGTGTATGTGGTGTGCAGTGTGAGGGGTATATGTGTATGCATGGTGCGATGTGTGTGTGTGGTGTGCAGTGTGGTATGTGGTGTGTGCATGTGTGTTGTGTGTGTGGTGTGCGGTGTGGAATGTGGTGTGTGCATGTGTGGTGTGTGTGTGTTGTGTGTGTGGTGTGCAGTGTGACATGTGGTGTGTGCATGTGTGGCGTTTGTGTGATGTAGTGTGTGTGTATGTGGTGTGTGGTGTGAGGGGTGTGTGTGTGTATGCATGGTGTGATGTGTGCATGTGGTGTGCAGTGTGGTATGTGGTGTGTGCATATGTGGTGTGTGTGGTGTGTGTGTAGTGTGCAGTGTGGAATGTGGTGTGTGCATGTGTGGTGTGTAGTGTGTGTGTACGTGGTGTGTGGTGTGAGGGGTGTGTATGTATGCATGTTGTGATGTGTGTGTGTGTGATTTGCAGTGTGGTATGTGGTGTGTGCATGTGTGTGGGTGGGTGTGTGGTGTGAGGGGTGTGTGTGTGCATGGTGTGGTGTGATGTGTGTGTGATATGTGGTGTGGTATGTGGTGCGTGCATGTGTATGTGTGCAGTGTGCGGTGTGGCATGCGGCATGTGCATGTGGTGTGTGTGTGTTGTGTGTGTTGTATGTGTGTGATGGGGAGGGGAGTGGGCTGAGAAGGCAGGAAGGCAGAGTGCCTGCTGGAGTATGGACACTATGGCTCAGGGGTGAGGTGGGGGCAGCACGGGAGCAGATGAAGGGATGGGTCTGGGGCTGTGGCACAGCACCACTGCCCTGAGCCTTACTTGTATCAGAGAGTCTCAGAGCAGCCCAGGGACAGGGTCATTTGCCTCATTTTATATGAGAAGACTGAGACTTCTGTTCCCTCCTGGTCAAATCCAACCAAGTCCTGCCAACACCACCCTCATTATCTCTCGGTCCACCTATTTCGTCCAGGTAGCCTTCCCTGACCCCCAGACGGGGTTAGGGGCCCCGCCATGTGCCCACCCCCAACTCTCCCTTATCACAGTGCCAGAGCATCAACTCTGCTAGGACAGAAGTGCCACGGGGCAGGGATTTTCATGGGTTTTATTTTCCATCATCTCCCCTCTGCCCAGAGCAATGCTTGACAAGCAGTTGGTACTTCATATTTTGGGAATGAATAACTCCTGCAGTATTTCATCATAATCGTTTGTCTATTTGCCCTTAGGCTGTACTCTCCTTAAAGGCAGGACCTCTTTTGATTCATCATTTTGACCCCAGCACCCAGCAAAGAGATTTGTGCACAGTAAGTGAGAAATATTAGTGGAATACAATAGAATATTAACACAGCTTTTTAAAAAGAATAACGAAATGTTTATTATGATGATTTGGACTAGACATCCAAGATACCTCTTTATGAGAAAAGGCAAAGGCAGAATCATGTGTATAGTATGCTATCTTTTCTACAATAGGAGGTTTTAATAAGACTTTATATTCATATTTGCTTATACATTTAAAAACTTGGCCAGGCACAGTGGCTCATATCTGTAATCCCAGCATTTTGGCAGGCCAAGGCCAGTGGATCACTTGAGCCCAAGAGTTTGAGACCAGCCTGTGCAACATGACAAAACCCCATATCTACAAAAAAAACAAAGCAAAACAAAAAAATATAAAAAAATAGCCAGGCCTGGTGGTGTGCACCTGTAGTCCCAGCTACTCAGGAGGTTGAGGTTGGAGGATGACTTGAGCCCAGGAGTTCCAAGCTGCAGTGATCCGTGATTGCACCACTGCACTCCAGCCTGGGTAACCCAGTGAGACACTTTCAGAAATAACACACACCAAAAACAAAACAAAACAAAACAAAATCTGATTCTAGAAGGATATATAACAAAAGTGATGACCTTCAATAAAAGGTAGCAGGCAAGTGGCAGTGAGTAGTGGGAGCAAGACTTTCCCTCACAGTTTTATACTTTCAACTTCCACCTCTTTGAATGCATTACCCAAGCAAAAATATAAAAGAAGGACATAAATATTAGTAGAAGGCAAGGGAGTGAGAAGGAGGAAGAGCAAGCAGGGAGAGAGGCGGAATCCCAGCCAGGATCTAGCTGCCTCCAGTCAGTCACATCACATGCCCTTGAATCCAAGGCTGACAAATTTAGATTCTGCTGCAAGAGAAGGACACGCTTTAAAAATCCCACAAGCTCACATGCTCTGGCATAGATGCCAAGTCTCGCAGGTCGGCTGAGATGGGCACAAATGTTCTTGGTTCTCCTGTGTCAGTTAAGAGGCCAGTTTTCTCCTGGGACGCTGGTCAGTAACTGCAGGTGTTTCCAACCTCAGAGGCTCAGCTCTGGAGATAAATATCAAGCCTGTGCACTGCTCCGTGGACTACCATATAAATTACCATTCTTAGGGTAGATGGTTCTCAAGGTTAATCTCAAGGTTTGCTAGGTAGTCAACACTTTGGAGCCCCCTTTCCTAAGCTCAACAGTGGCCCCTCAGAAGACTCTCCTCCAGCTTATAAGCTGCAAGGAAAATGGTACAACTATTGTGGAGCTGTATTGAGTAAAAATATGCTACACACAAGCCCTGCAACCCTGCAAGCCCACCCCTGCACCTACATAACGCCGTCAGGTGCATCAGAAGACATGATGAAGAATTTTCTTTGTAGCGTTGTTTGCAATAGCAAAACAAAACCAAAAAAAACCACAACTGAAAATGACCTAGACGTCCTTCTACAGGACATTGGATACATAAAATGTGGTACAGTGTGTTCAAACAATGGAATTTCACAGCAGTGGAAATGAATAAACTGAAGCCGCGTATATCAGCTGGGTGAATCTCAGAAGCCTGTGGAAGATGCAAAGCAAGCTGCAGAAGATATCACAAAACATTACATAAAGTTCAAAACAAAACTGAAGGGTTCTCTTCACACATGTTTATCAGAAACGCGTGGTGAAAACAACCAAAAACATAGCAAGGGAATGACGAAACTGGGATTTAGATAGCGGTCACCTTGGAGTGGGGGTGGTAGGGAAACGGGAGAATGTAGTAGGGGTGAGGCACACACCATGACAGGCCTTATTGGAAATGGTTTATTCCTTGATCACTGTCAGTCATTTTATTATCGTACTTTTGATCTTAGTTGTGCATTAACACATACTCTTTTTTTGTTGTTTTTTTCTGAGACGGAGTCTTGCTCTGTCGCCGAGGCTGGAGTGCAGTGGTGCGACCTTGGCTCACTGCAACCTCTGCCTCCTGGGTTCAAGCGATTCTCCTGCCTCAGCCTCCTGAGTAGCTGGGATTACAGGCATGTGCCACCATGCCTGGATAATTTTTTTGTATTTTTAGTAGAGACGGGATTTCACTATGTTGGCCAGGCTGGTCTCGAACTCCTGACCTCAGGTGATCCACCTGCCTCGGCCTCCCAAAGTGCTGGGATTATAGGCATGAGCCACCCTGCCCGGCCAACACATACTCTTTTTTATGACTCAAATATTCCAGTGTAAAGATCTAAACCATAGCCTGAGCTGTGGAGTCAGGCAGGCCTCCTGGGTGTGAATACTGACTTTTCCATAACTGAGTGACCTTGGGCATGTCACTTAGCCTCTGAGTCTCCCTTGTCTCACCAGGATGATGATACTTCCCTCGAAGGACTCTACTTATGTATGAAACGTGGCCGGCACATAGTAGATACTCAATGCATTTTTTTACAATCTATTTGTGAATTCGGGCATTGGACTCTGGGACTCCCCGTTGTAGGCTAAGGATACGATAAATGAGAGCTGAATGAATGAATGAGTGAGCAAACGAAAGAAGTCAAGAATTCTTTTACCACCTCTACATCTCCTCCTCTGAATGCCCTCTGGAACTCAAATCATCTGGTTAGCTTTGGGGTCACTTAAAACAAAACTTAAAATCCAATTCTTACACCTACTTAGAGTCTCTGGAAGCAGGTAGTGGACGAGCTTAGCCCCATGAAGATTCTGCCTCCACCCTCCAAACTGGACAAAAGATCCCTTCGGGACAAACTCGCCGTGTCTTCCCTGCCCCCACAGCACCTGGCACGTTCTGGGCCCACTAGATGCTCCTCATGAAAGCAGCCACTCATTGGAAGGAAAGGCCACCCGTAGTTGGCAGGTATCTCCCCAGATATTTACAGGCTTGGGTCAGTCCCTTTTGAATCTATAGGAGTTTCCCCTGACTTTAAACTCTCCAGCATCTTTGGTCTTATTTAGACAGCCTATGATTAGAGAAACTTAATGGATTTCCAAACCCTGAAAATAGGCCTTCTTTTAGACCTTATGAGAATCTCTGCTAGGCTTTGATTTCTTTCCCCCTTTGGCTTGTTTGTTTGTTTTCTTTCAGGCTAGATCTGGGGAAGGAGATTACCTGCAGAATCATAGAGAAATATATTTGAAGTCAGACAATAAAGCCTCTGTTTGACCTTGAGCCAGACCTGTCATTTCCAGCTTCATTCAGCTTTCTCCCCTGTAAAATGGCAATAGTAATGATTTATTGCTTACTTCACAAGGATGCTGAAAAGAGAAAATAAAGCCATGAATATATTGGTGATTTTGAAACTATAAAGTTCTTTATAATCTGGTACAGAGAAAGAATACTGGATTTGGAGTCAAGATACCTAGTATTTTCTCTTTAAGTGTTGTGGCATATTATGTACCAGGCATGTTCTGAGCACTTTATGAATGTTAACTCATGGTAATTGTCACAATAATCTTATGAACTAGGTATTATATTATCTTTCCCATTAGGCAGATGAGGAAAGTGGGGCACAGAGAAGTTAAGTAACTTGTCAAGTTGCACAGCTATTATGTGGCAAAGCTGAGATCCAAACCCAAACAGCTCGGCTCCAGAAACTGGTCCCCTTAACTAGCTTTTCTCACTCCTGCTTGAGAAGTTTGAGCCTAGCTCTGCCACTCACTAAGTCTTCTGTCCTTCATTCATTCATTCCACATACACTTACTGAGTGCTTACTATGTGCCAATACTGTTCTAGGGGCTGGGCATGGAGCAATGAACAAAACAGGCTGTCACAGAGCTTGCATTCCAGCAATTACACAAGGTGTCCAGAGGATTCAATGCTGTGGAAGATGAATAAAGCAGAGCGACGGGCTAGAGTGTGACCTTGAGCCCATGGTGTCTTCTCTTTGAACCTCTGCTCTCCTATTATACAATGTAGATACTGAGGCCTGCCCCACCTCCTTTAAAGGTTTAGGGGGCAATCAAATGAACTATATCCTATATAGAGGTGCATATAGGATATAAACCTTAAAACACTATTCTCGTGAAGAGGTTGTACATTCACTGCTCTTGCCTCTTTGTTCCTATGGTGCCTTTTCATACCTCTAAGCTACAGTCACCCTTGTTTCATAATTGGCCAGGCAGGTCTCTGTGTCATCCAATAAACTAAATATTTGAGGGCAGGACCAGATCCTGGTACAGAGTAAGTGTGAAACAAAGGTATCATTATTAGTATTAATAATCACAATTTAATGAGTCCCTAACAGTGCCAATTACCACCAGACACTTATGTACAATGCTGAAATTAACCTTCAGTGTAGAAGTTATTATTATCCTGGTCCCAGGGGAGAAATGGAGGCCCAGAGAGCTGAGAAATCTGCCCATGGCCATTCACCAGTGAGCGACAAAACCACAATCAGAACAGCCTCCAAACTCCACCATCTGTCACCAACCCCCAACTCATCCACACTTGTCCAGTCAACAAATCTGGCTTGAGCACCTACTATGCTCTTGGTGCTTTGCCGGGTACTGGAGACACAGAGATGGAGAAAGCAGGTGAGGTCTCTGTCCATGCGAAAAATAGGACAAACAAGTTATCACGTAAATAAGGTGGGCACGGGGTTGATCCACGGGGAGGGCCTACCTAGGCTGGGAGGTGGAGGAAGGCCTGTCTGAGGAAGGGACATCAGAGCTGAGCCCTGAGCAGTGACAGGGAGCTGGTAGACCTTCGAGGGACCTGGGAGGAAGGGCTGAGGTGTGAATGAGCTCGGAAACTTCTCCAAGCAGGAGGCGGCCTGTGCGCCTGAAGAGTCCCAAGAAAGGGAGACAGAGGTAAGAGGTGCAGTGAGAGGAAGGTGTGTCACCACCATACAGGCCCTAACAGACCTGGACAGGCGTGGGGGCAGCCACCGAAGCTTTCCAGGTAGTACAGCAATGTGATCTGAGGTCGATTTTGGAACAATTATGAATCGTTGAAATAACATTAGAGTCTGCTAATCATTATTATAACAATGTTTCCAAAAAGCTTGTTTAGGAGATAAGAGAGAAGAGTGAAAAAGGCCAGAGAAGGTAGAAGTAGGCTGGGAGCAGAGAAAGGTATTCAGCCAGCAAATGACTCTTGCTGGTGTTTCCCTTCAGTTTAGCTTCAGCTGAATCCAGCCTCCTTTATCTTATACACAGTCATAACTGACTGTCAATGGAAATCGCTAAATAGATTTCCAGGCTTCTGCTATGAGAAGGATCAGTTTTCTTCCCCCTTCTCTTCCCACCCCAAGGAAAGAGAAGGCCCATAACCCGGAAGAAGAGGGGCCCTTCGTGACTGCTTGGGGCAGGGTGTCTGCTGAGAGGCTCGGAGGATGCTTCTTAAGACAGTGTCTTGTCCTCAGGGGCAAGGCTTTTGATTTCTAGATGCAGGTGGGTCTCTGCCAAAATGTGGCCTGGGAGTTGGGCTTTCTGGGTGGCTTTGGCTGCCCTATGAAAAATGAACAGATAAACCAGCCTCATCCCTGCTCCACTCCCACATATCTGTGAGTGGAAATTAGAGCCCACAGGGCGGGCTTAAGGAGAGCATGCCAGACTTGAGGATCTTTGGGGCATCCTGGATGGACTGGTGGAGGAGGGAGGTGGCACTGCTGGGACCTGGCAGAAACCTCAGATGTCTACACTCAGATGTCTACACTGCCTGTGTTCACCTCCCCACCCCCTGCACCATGCTGCTACCCAGTCCGCTTCTCCCTCCTGGAGAGGAGGCAGATCCACGTCTTAGGAAGCTGACAAGAAGCAAAGGAAAGAAAACTCAAAGAAAGAAGAACCTTTTAGGAAACAAAAAGATTGAATTAAAAGATGTCTCAAAAACTGAATAATTCTGCCCATGCAAATTACATTAAATTATGTAAATTTATGTAAATCAGTCACATTTCTCCCTCTTCTTTCCGAACCCATCATTTTGCACCCCTGGAGGTGTCTGGAAGTGAGGGATCCTGACCGAGCTCCTTGTGCTAACACAAAGCTTGAAGAGTTGGGTTTTCCAATCTCTCCTACTCCTGGGATTGCAGATTTCTCCCTTGGGCTCTGCTTCACCCCACTCTGACCACAAGAAAACCCCTTTCCCAACAGCCCCCACCCCTCACGACTCCCTTGTGCTGGCGACTGGACAGGACATTTATGTAGCATATTTAGAGATGGTGGGGCAGATTTGGAGGAGGGAGGAGCTGAAAATAGACTTCATGCAAATATAATCTCTTTATGCTAATGATATGCAAATATAATGTTTCCCTCTCCTTGGCCCCCTGAAGCCAAGAAATGACTTGTCTGTGTGCAGTGGACCAAAAAGAGGCCAGGAGAGAAAGCCGGAGGGAGAGAGAGAGGAGAGAGGCCTGAGAGCCCTGGCTGACCCCTACCCCCATTCCCACCCCCAGACGCAAGTGACCCCCAGTGAAGGAACAGCTGCCAAGACAGCCCAGGTCTGGAGAGAGCTGTAGTCCAGGCATGGGGCTTGGGGCGCATGGGGGTATGGGGAGAGTCGCCTGTGCTTCCGAGCTTTCAGGACAGGTGCTGTCCCCCCTCACCCTCCCTCCTGTGGGGAGTGTGTCTCACCACCTCCCTCCACCTGTGTAGAGATTGTCTCCCTGGGCACTATTATCTCCTGCAGTTGCTCGTAAATGACAGCACCCCCAGTGGCTGGCCCTCCCAGCACTCAAACCCCTTCTGGCTGGGCTGCTTGCCGGAGGATTAGCTCCTCTTTGGAGAACCCACAATAGCCCTCCACATCCTTTGTGCTTCTGTTTGCAGCAAATATTGAAGCTCTCTCCTGAAACCCATTATGCGCCGCTGGGACAAAGGCTTTCCGCTGGTCTCCAGGACAGAGCCAATAGCAGGATGTTCCTTGCTACTGTACCTGCCGCCTCACCTGCGCTTCTTCTCCGGTTACCCCCGGAAGGAGATGATCCACATTCAGATGAGGCATCTCTGTGCCAAGGCAGTGGACACAGCAGATGCCATAATGCCCACACCAGGGTTTCCCCATTGGGGGGGATGCGCCCATTGCCCATTGGGTGGGCGGGGGTCACAAGTAGTTGGGAGATGCAAAGATCAAGGGCAAGGGAGCCTGGGCGGGAGCTGAGTAAGCAGCAGCAGGTGCGCTGAGCTCCCCTGCAATCAGGGCTTCACGACTGCTGTTTGCTCTGCCATGAACATCCCTCCCTTCCACTCCCTACCTAATTTTCAGGGGCCAGTTTTATTCATCTTTCAAGTCTCAGCCTAGACTTCACCTCATTACCTCCTTCAGGAAGCCAGCCTTGCCTCCCACATTGAGGTGTTCCTCCTCACACTCACATCTGGTATTTTAACGGCCGGCCTGCTCACTTTCTGCTTTCCTTATTCTGGCCTCCAAGCTCCTGAGGCATTTTCGTGCTGAAAACATCTGACACAACTCCTAAACGTGGCAGATCAATGTGACTGAATAAATGAACGACTGAATGAATGCAGCAAGTATGGGCTGTGCCTCATCCTGGAGTCCTCAGAATTCTGATTCAAGGGGTGTTAGGCCATGAAGGGCCCTGGGAGCAGGGCCGAGAATCTTTCATGGCCTTCCACGTGGACACCTCAGTTTGGTGAAGGGCAGGCTGGGGTGAAAGTCCACCAACCATGTGGCCCCGGGTGAGTCTCTGAACCAACCCAGGCCTCTCAGTCCCCTCATCTGGCAAATGGGAAGAACAGCATTGGAAAGACAGAGCGGAAGAATGCTCTGAAAACAGCAAAGGAGTTGTGTGGAGCTGAGGCGCGTGAGCATGGTTATGTGGAGGGGACGTTATGGACCTCAGTTTGGGGCAAGAGAAGAAACATAGGTGTTTTCCAGCAGGTGTGTTGCTCCGGCAGGCAACTGGCGGTCACTCTGTAGCATGCACTGGGCGGGAGAGGACTTGGGGGTCCTGTTTCCAGGTCTGAGGGAGGAGGCGGCATCTCTGGGCCCGGAACTTCCAGTGGCAACCCTGGGGCCTGGGAGCCGCTGGCCACACTCCCCTGCCTGCCCTTCCTCTCTCCTGGTCACTGCCAGTACGGAGCCTGGTCCAACAGGCTGGGAGCCTACTCCAACTCACTGCTGGGCAAGTTACTCCTTTCCCCTCACCTCGGTTTCCTCTTCTATTAAATAGAAATAATAACAGTGCTACTGCATAGGGCTGCTAAGATGATGAAATGCGATCAACTATATAAAGTACTCAGCACTGCTCCCAGCACATGATAGGTGCTCAGTAAACACAATCCGTCATCCCACCCACCCCTTTACTCATCCTGCCTTGGTTCTGGGAATCACAG